ACTCTCATGTTCGGATGCAAAACCGGGGCAGATGAGAACGCTGGCCTCGCTGGGATTGTAGGAATCCAAGGGTCCTCCCATACCTTCACTTCATAGCCTGAATGTATTTTCTGTCTATCACCCAGCAGCAATAATTCTCGTGCAGCCAAAATGCTTGTCCACACATACGATGGGCTGCTACCAGTGAGATTTCGCAAAGGCAAACTCAAACGATAATACCGACCTCTCATAACTCGAGCTACCAGGGAATCTGGGTATTGAGCCAATCTCCACAGCTGTTTAGCTAATAACGCCAGGTTAAACTCATGGATCATCCTGAAACCAATTCGCCCTTCCTCTTTGAATAAGCATAACTTGTCCCATGTTGACCAGTGTAAGCCCATTTTCGGTGGGTTCAAACTCCACCAAAACTGTTCAATAGCACTAGCCAAGGCATCACATATCTCCAATTGGAGAAGAAAGCAAGACATTACATAGGTTGGTAGAGCCAACAGGATTGACTTTATCATTACTTCCTTTCCGCTTGATAACCATCTGCCCGTCCATCCATTTACTCTATTTCTAAGCTTATCCTTTAGGAAAGCAAAAAAGCTTGCATTTGGAGCCACTGATATCTTCTGGAATCCCTAAGTAAGTTCCAATCCCTACTTCATTTTGGATCTCGAGTGTATCTTTGATCTCTTGCGTGGTCTCTTGTCCGATTCTCTTACCAAAGAGTAGAGATGACTTGTCAAAATTAATACATTGTCCAGAAGCTTGTCCATATTTCCTGACCACTTTCATTACTTCTTAACATTCACGGGGCTCCGCCTTACAAAAGAAAATGCTATCATCAGCAAAAATTAGGTGAGATACCAAAGGTCACGCACGCGTGATACGCATTGCCGTTATCTTTCTTTGATTCTCTGTGTGATTAAGAAGGCTAACGAGCGCTTCCATGCATAGAATAAAAATGAAAGGGGATAGAGGATCCCCCTGCCATAGACCTCTCTCCGGGACAATGCTCCCTCTTGGCTGTCCATTCATAAGGACCTTATACTTTACTGATGTTACACATCGCATAAACCAGTTTATTCAGACTTCTGAGAATCCCATATTCTCATGGTTGCCTCAATGAAGGACCATTCCATCCTATCATATGCCTTACTCATGTATGTTTTAATAGCCATCCTCTTATTTCTTCCACTCAGTTTTGTTTTTAAGGCATGGAACATATCCTGGGCTATCATAATGTTGTCAGATATCTGTCTCCCAGGAACAAAGACTGACTGGATTTTTGAAATCCTATCTGGTAGGACCTTTTTTAATCTCTGACACAAGACCTTGGAGATAATCTTGTAACTGACATTACAAAGGCTAATAGGTCGTAGCTGGCTCATCTGGTTTGGCTTCTCTACTTTTGGGATAAGGCATATGTTGGTATCATTTAATCCAACAGGTAGTATCCCTTCGAAACGGAATTGATTAACCATAAGAGTTAGATCGTCCTTTACATATCCCAAAAAATTTGGTAAAACAAAGCTGTCATTCCATCGGGTCATGAGGCTTTCTCAGGGTGCATAGCAAAAAGAGCCAACTTAACTTCCCACTCTGTGACCAGGGCTGTTGGACCCTCATTATCTGCTGGCGTAATAGTAGTGGTGACTTCTGAGAGTGCATCCTCTATCTCCTCTGGGTTTGATGATTGGAAAATGAGTCAAAAATAGCTGGTAGCAATGCCTACCAGTCCTTCCTCATCCTCTACAACATTCCCATCTGCATCCAATAATTGAGTTATCATGTTCCTTGCTCTTCTCTGCTTCGTAAGAGCGTGGAAAAAATTAGTGTTTCGATCTCCTTCCCTTAGCCAGAACACCCTACACTTCTATTTCCAGAACAACTCCTCCGCCTTAAGAGCGTCAGACAATTCTTTTAAAGCCGTTGCTATCTCCTCTGTAGTAGCATCATCATTGGAGGGTAATTGGTCCACATTTTTCTTTAACTCCTCTAAACTTTTTTATGAATTCAGATTGTGTTGCCTCTTCCAATCACATAATGCTCGCCTGCAACTTGCAATGTGCTCCATGATACTCGCATCCGGTGGGATATCCGGTGATTTCCATCCTTCAAGTATAATCTGCCTGAGATCCTCATTTTGAAGCCATCTCTTATCAAATATAAAGTTTTTTGATCGTCGCGGCTTCTTTTTAAGAATATCAGCTAGGATTGGACAATGATCCGAACCCCAAAGCCTCATATACTGCACTTTGGAATGAGGAAATTTCTCATGCCATTCCTCATTATCCACAGCCCTATCAAGGCGACATCGAACGGTAGCATTCCCTGCTCTTCTTCCTACCCAAGAGAGCATGTTCCCTTTAAAAGGGAACTCCAACATACCACAGTCACTGAGCATCTGCTTAAAAGGCAAGAAGGAACTATATGTGCGTTGCATGCCTCCTTCTTTCTCTTCATGACAAGTAATTTCATTAAAATCACCTATCATAAACCAAGGTCCATTTCTTGTTGTTGAGAAACGCGAAAGACGTTCCCAAACTAGATCTTTTCTTTCTACTACAGGATCCCCACAAACAAATGTCATATAGACTTTTATTCCATCAATGACTGCATCAATGTCAATCATTATGTTATTCGAAAATAAAAAATTAACTTGAAATTCATCCATAAAAATAAAGCTAAACCTCTGCTAAGTCCAAGTGGCTCAACGGTAAACAAACGATCAAATCCTAAGTCGGCATGCATGTCTTGCAACAGCAACCTCCTATTATTCGTTTCAGAAAGGAACACAAGTCATGGGCGATGCTTCTAAGACATCTCCGTAAAGCATCGAACTGTGAGGTCAGTCCCAATTCCTCGACAGTTCCAACTGAGTGTCTTCATGGATGAATGTGGGATAGGTTTTTGGACCCCATCGAACCATTGTCTTTGTTTAGCTTGGACCGATCCACTCTAGCTTTATGGCTGGAGTTACGTGAGATGCCTTTTTCTCAGTTTGATTGTGGGTTGTAGAGCTTAGGGATCTCAACCGTGGGGATCCCCGGTGTAGAACATCTTTTTTCTTGGGGGTCCTCCTGTTACCATTCCTCAATCCATTTATGCTTCTTGAACTTCTTACAGTCTCCTTGTGCCGTGAATTATGTTTCTCCACAGGTACTTCCAACTCCATGAGCTCCTCATCAAATAGATCATACTCCTCATCCATTCCTTCTGTTTCTTTGTTTGCTGAGATTTCCATATCTGTCAAAGCCGCAATAACTCATGTATTATCGTTCTCTGTCACAGTAAAGTTTGTGGAATACGTCAAGGTACACACCACACTTCGTTCATGTATCGTCACATTGGCGTTTTCTCATCAGGTCTCAGTAAACCCTCAAAGTGGTCAACGCTGAGGGTCACTCCCCGTTACATGTTTGGAGAAGTGATCTTGCTTGCTAATCTTTTCCGCTTTGAGTGCTCAAAGATCTTTGAAGGGTCTTCAGTTTGATCACTAGAATGGCTTACATCATCATAATTTAAGTTTTTAGCAACAAAAAACGTGTATTGTATTACATCATCTTATTTTTCTTTGTATGCTAATTTTTTAGAATACATTTCTGTATTTTAGAAGGCCACATCTTTGTGTGTTTTAAATTACCATAATTTATGGGGCGACACTGGCCCAATGGTCATTTGAGCGTTCACGCCAATATCAATCCCACATTCTCACTAAACCTCAAAATCTCAATCATGGAAACTAACTCGTTTTTGACAAAGAAAAAAAGCACAAACTCATTTTATGTATACTTATCATATTATATATGTGGCAAATATGCTTTTAACAAATACTAGATTTTGAACCCGCACATCCGTGCGGGTAATTTTTTTATTTTATAAAAATATAACAAAATCTTTCAAATATATGATTTACATTTTATTGTTATATATTATATAACTATATAATCTTATTATTTTAATTATTTTATATAATATATTGTTGTAATTTTTTTAAAAAAAATCATATATATATATATATATATTAGATAATGTATTTGTTGTGAGTTACAAAAATATATGTTAACATTTTTTGTATAAAAATATTACATGTTTTAAAAAAATTAATGTTTTAACAGAGAATAAAAGAAATTTTTAAAATACAATATTTTTCTTTACCAATTTAATATACTTTTAGATTCATTTCACATAGCATTTTTATTTTAATATAAAATAGAATATCATTAAATTATAAAATATACCAATTTTTATTTTTAATTAACATTAATATATATATATATATATATATATATATATATATATATATATATATATATATATATATATATATATATATATATATATATATATATATATATTAATCACGAAATTAAATAATATATATTTTATAAAAATATTTATAATTTTTGGTAAGATCATGTTAGATATTTTCTCAACAGATTTAGTTATAAATAAAATTAAAATATAAATTTATATTCAAATTGATTTACTACTAATATCTTATCTTCTATATTAAATAAAAATAAAATATTTTTTCAGTAATATATATTTGATTGATTAATATAAATAATCAAATATGTCCTATTAATGAAATGGTCAAAAATGACTTTTGTGTAGTAGATATAAATGGTACTTCTCTTTTAATATAGAAGATTGTAAGAAATGCATGTCGCATTTGATATCTAGGTCATTAGATTATATAAACTTAGATTTAATAAAATGAAATTGGCAAGTGGCAAGACATACCACAAAGAGCCATGAGCAGTCTGACGAGGACAAAAAAAGAAGCTGACTCTTCTTGCATTTTTATTTTTTTCCTCTTTTTACATTATCATTACTGAATTATTGATAGATTTTTCTAAGTTTGTAGATTTTTCCAGTCAGTATTCACATTTCTCTTCTCTTTATATAAACCACAGTAAGTTGATATCTCTCTTACAACTCCAAGAGCCTCGGAGCTACAAAACCCAAACCAAAGAGTTCTCCGGGAAAGAAAAAAAAAAAAGAACATGCCGACCAACAAGACACCGTCCCTCACCATATTTTCCCTCTTCCTCGGTTTACTTTGGTTCGATTATTTTCCCGGTTTAGAAGCAGCAACCGGAAAAGTAGGTTCGGTTCCGGGAGTATACGTGTTTGGAGATTCGTTGGTTGATGCCGGAAACAATAACTACTTAGCATTTTCCGTTTCCAAAGCTAATTATCCACATAACGGCGTTGATTTTCCTGGCAAAAAACCCACCGGAAGATTCAGTAACGGCAAAAATGCCGCCGATGCTATTGGTGAGTGTCAATTATTATCTCTTTTGGCTATGAAGTGAAATTATAATGTTTGGCATGATTAGGCCAGGCCACGATTGGTCTGATATATAGATACCGTGACGTGATGGCTACTAACTTAGATATCTATCTATATATATATATATATATATATATTAAAATAAACGGAAACGAAAAGTTACATGTAATCCTAACATTTAGTTATCAATATATTAAGCTGGCAAAAAAAGTTATCAGTATATTCGACATTGTTGTTTTTACATTCCAAATTTCATTTACGAGAATCGAGAGTATTATTTGAGGGAATTCATTTTAACTTTAATTTTCATGCTGATTAACAATTAGCTGAGAAATTTGGGTTACCGTTGCCACCGCCGTATCTTTCACTAAGAGGGCTATTTAAAGAGAAAAGGAGAAAATCTGCTGCCGTGACCGGTGTGAATTTTGCTTCAGGTGGAGCCGGAATCTTCAATAGTTCCGACCAGAAACTTGTAAGTTATTTAAATAGATAAATATATTCCATTCTATGATCTATATACTAAACTTATATTAAAAATTATGGAAAAGAGTGAATAGGAGTATTGATTCAATAGCCGGCATTATTTGAACTGATTCAGGGACAAGCTATTCCTTTATCACACCAAGTAAACCATTGGCTCTCTATTCATCGAGAACTGACGAATCAGCTTGGACCAGCCGAAACACAAATACATCTATCCAAATCTCTATTCACTGTGGTCATAGGTAGTAACGATCTTTTTGACTATTTTGGATCGTTTAAACTACGAAGAAGAAACAATCCTCAACAGTATACACAGTCAATGGCTGATAAACTCAAAGAGCAATTGAAGGTAAACCACACAACTTTGAGCACCTAAATACATGTGGTTTACATATATTCAACTCCTAGAAATATTAATTGGATTTACTAACTATACAATTTTTATTTTTAATAGAGGATTCACGATACTGGAGCACGCAGATTCCTAGTAGTAGGAGTTGCGCAAATTGGTTGCACGCCGGGGAAAAGAGAGAAGAACTCGGCAATCCATGAATGCGACGAAGAGGCAAACACGTGGTGCTCTTTGTACAACGAAGCTTTGGTAAAGATGTTGCAACAACTCAAACAAGAGTTGCAAAGCTCAATGACTTACTCTTACTTTGACAACTTCAAGTCCTTACATGACATTATATCCAACCCTGCCCGTTACGGTACGTCAAAAAAAAAATTGCTATCCCCACTAATGAAACTTGGACGAATTCATACCACGATCATGAGACTCAAAACCAAATCAGAATGTTAGAATTGCATGTCTTCATTTTTAGCTTAATTTTTTTGTTGATATATATAATTAAACAACATGGTGTCTTCTATTCTTTGTGATTTTAGGTTTTGCTGATGTGACATCAGCTTGTTGTGGAAATGGGAAATTAAACGCGGACACTCCATGCCTTCCAATCACGAGATATTGTTCAGACAGAACCAAATATCTCTTCTGGGATCGTTACGGTCATCCTACGGAAGCTGCAGCTCGAACCTTCATCGACCTTATGTTATCTGATGATTCACAATACTCATCTCCTTTAACGCTGACTCAACTGATTTCTTCATAATGTCAGTATGGGGCTTCGTTCAGAAAGATTAGATCATCATATAGAAAATGGACTCTAGAGACTTGACTACAAATCAAATATATCAATAAAATAAATTTTATTAATTTACTAGTGTTTCTCTCAGTTATAGACCCAAATAGCTTATCACATGAGCATGCAGAACACTATGGAATTTATTTATTTTGCAGAAAATGGAGATTTTTCCAGTTAACGATTTGGCTGTGTTCTTCACAATTTTTTATTTTTTTTTTGGGGGGGGGGGGATTCAGAGCTTACAGTTGTTACGCATGAGAGGGAACAAATTAAGAATGAATATGATACTCTCATTAACTCCGTATATAACACAAATTTCTAACGAAATTAAATAAATAGTTTTAAAAATTAATTTCCTAGGAAATTTGTGGAAGATCCTTCGTGAATTTTGACCCAAAAAAAATAAAAATTCCTTCGTGAATTTGAATTCTGTCAGAAATTGCCTTGTCGACTGAATTTCTTAGGACAGAGAGCTTAGGAAAATATAAGAGTATCATTAAAGCAGAAACCTAGATGAGTTTCTTTATTTTTTTTAAATTTTTGTTTCTTTTTATCTGTTTCTAAAAAAAAATTAAAAGTACTAATTACAGATCACTACGTGGTAGTGGGGCCTGCAAAAATTTTCAGAAATCCACCAAATTTGGTTCTGAACTCATGTCCTTTGTGCTCGTTTCTCTTGTTTTTTTGGACCCTACTGGTTCAGAAACCCCTTCAAAACTTACATTAATGTTGTTCTAAGAAACTGTTTTTTTAATTTTTAATTAAAAAGTTAAGAAACAATTTCTTATATTTTTTTAAGAACCCCATATAAGAAATCTTGGATAGTAATTTATTGCCTTTAATTTATCTTTATGTGTAGCTTTGATATTTCTCATTTTTCTTGCCAACGTAAATCGTATCTGAATTATTGTTCTTCACTACGAATGACAAAAAATAGTTCTAGTTAATAAATTATATATTGATCATACAAGTTACGTACGAATAAAAATAGAAGATACATATGTCACAATCATAAATACAGTCATAAAGTGGAGTATATAATTTTAGTAAAGAGTGACCAAACAATATATGCAACGACTCCATTAAATGCTTATGTTTTGAAACATTTAAATTCTCAGATTAAACGAGTAACATAACCGGGTCTGGTTCTTAAAATAGCAAAAGGCTAAATACGAGGCCGAAAAACAAATGTTGTGAAGTAGCAATCTGTTCCAATACACAAGGCTGAATCAAATAAGACTGATCTTATCGTGGGGGAGGGGGGGGGGGTTGCGTTGGCTTTGTAGATAGATGCAGTAATGAAACCGTGTAAGAGTGAGCTGACGGGTGTGTTTGTGATGAGAATGCTGTGGTTAGCACTTAACACTTGTGCGGGGCTGGATTTGAAATTTAAAGGATCATAAACATTTTTAAATTTTGAAGTTCATGTTATAAATGGGTGATTAATCATCAAGTAGACAGATATCTATAGATCATCTATCACCATCATCAACAGAGGTCCTCATTTCCCTTTTAGTCATCACTCACCAATATACATATGTCTTTCTTTTGTTCATTGACAAGATGACTAACACAAATCTCTTGTACTATAAATAAGTACGTGAAGTGAAGATGAATAATAATAACTTTACTATCTCATCTCTCTCTCGTTTTCATATACAAATAAAAAGTGTTCAGTTTATGTCTTTCTAGTTATTTATTCATAACACGTTATCAGCACGAAGCTCTGATTCTATATCAAACTAGATTATACCGGTGAGGTAATGTTTAGTTTACATATTTCAATAATTTTTATTATTGTAATTTTATTATTGTTCCGGAGTGAGAGGCTAGGCCTACTCCGTTTAGTTTTTGGGATGATAGGCGTTGCCTTCCCCGACTGATTGTTAAGAAAGGCTATGACTTTACGATCAGTCAAACACGTTGTAGGCTTTGCCTCCGTGAATAAAAAGAAAAGATCAAAATGGATGACTATGTCACCTCGGATCTTGATAAAAAGAAAAGGTTAACATGGCAGACTATGTCTCCTCAAACCTTGATAAAAGTGATTAACATGGTAGACTATGTCTCCTTGGATCATTTGGAAGGCTAAGCCTTTGGTTTTATTTATGCTATTTAAATACTGTAATTTAAATTTATACAATTTATTTTTGCTTTTATTTTATGCTTTTAATTTCTGCATTTACATTATGCATTTAAATTCTCGTCTTTATTATATTTTTAAATTATTATTCTATTAATACAGTTATCATTTCGAATCTGACAAAGCTCGAAATAAATGCCCTGGATATTATGGGAATAATTATATGACATGAGCAGTGGGTGCAAAGATGCACCTGAGAGGAAACATGCTTTTGGAAACCATTGATAATACAAAAACGGTGTCGGATGAGAAAAAGGCTAAATCCATGATATTTTTATGACACCACATACATGATGGTTTAAAAGATGAATATATTACGAAAGAGGATCCATTGGACCTCTCGCAATCTTTAAAAGAGAGGTTCGATCACCAGAAATATGTGATCTTACCGAAAGCTAAACACGAGTGGATCCATCTCTGGTTCCATGACTATAAAAGTGTTAGTGAGTTTAATTCTGCTATGTTCGGAATTACATCTTGGATGATGTTATGTGGGGAGAAAATAAGTGATTATGATATGATCGAGAAAACTCTCTCCACGTTACATCCTGGAAATATAGTCATGCAGCAACAATACCGAGCGAGTGGATATACCCGTTACTCGGAGTTGATGCAAGTCCTCCTTGTAGCGGAGCAGAATAATAACCTCGTGACTTTAAACCACCAGGCTCGTCCCACTGGATCTGCTCCATTCCCTAAAGAGAATGTTGCATAATCCAGTTATGATAATTGGAGAGGACGAGGTCGTGGACGTGGTCGAAATCATGGTCGTAGAAGAGGACGAGGAAGAAGATTCCGTCCATATGATAAAAGAAATAATACAGATTTCCACGAAAATGAAAAAGGTGAAAGGGGCCGGGATGATAAAAAGCAAACAGGAGTTTGCTACAGATGCGGTATGAAAGGGCATTGGGCACATGTTTGCCGTACGCCAAAACATTTAGCCGATCTGTATAAAGAATCTCAAAAGAGAAAGGAAAAAGTAGGTGAAACAAACTTCATCTCTGATGAACCGGGACATCCTTTCATGGTTTAAATGATGATACTCATCTCGACGTATCAGATTTTTATCAGATTTTCTGGTTGAGCCAGAAAATATCAATGAGTAAAATAAGATCGATGTGATATAAGTTTATTGTATTATAATATCTATATCTTTTGTTATAAGATATATGTTATGTTTTTCTTTGTTTAATAATGCATATTTTATGTTATGTGATAGAAGTTTAATAATACATGTTTTCAGAAAGAATGCCAAACTTTGAGACTATGGATGGAGATATGTGTTTCGCAGATAGTGCTACAACGCACACAATAATCAAAGATAAGAAATATTTCTCCAGTCTCAAAATAAAAGATTACGCTAGAAGCGTAAGTACAATATCTGGTAATGCAAAGATTAATGGGCTTTGGAAGAGTGAAATTTTCAATGCCAAGGGGGACGATATTTGAAATAAGTAATGCATTATACTCCCCCGAGTCTAATAGAAACTTGTTAAATTTCAAGGATATCCGAAGAAATGGATACCATATTGAGACTATGTGTAAAGATGACATTGAATTTCTTTGCATTAAGTCCGAGGGGAAACATATATTGGAAGAGTTAAAAATGTTATCATCTGGACTATATTGTATAGAAATACACATGACTGAGTCCTATACCGTGGTAAACATAAAGTTTACTGGTACATTTAAAATCTTGCATGAGAGGCTAGGACATCCGGGTTCACTCATGATGAGAAAAATAGTGAAAAATTCAAATGGCCATCCGTTGAAAAACGAAAGAATTTTGCAAACGGGTGAGTTTACATGTAAAGCATGTTCTCAAGGAAAACTTATAACTCGGCCATCACCAGCAAAAGTAGGCAATGAATCACCAATGTTTTTAGAAAGAATACATGGTGATATATGTGGGCCGATCCACCCACCGTGCGGGACGTTTAAGTATTTCATGGATTGATTGACGCATCTAGTAGATGGTCAAATGTATGTCTTTTGACAACAAGAAATACGGCTTTCGCAAAGTTCATTACCCAAATAATAAGGCTGAGAACGCAGTTCTCAGGATATGCCATTAAGAAAGTAAGGCTTGATAATGCTAGTGAATTTACATCGCAAGCCTTTAATGATTATTGTATGTCAGTGGGGATTGATGTAGAACATCCAGTGCCTCATGTTCATACACAGAATGGCATGGCCGAGTCATTAATAAAGAGGTTGCAGTTGATTGCAAGACCGTTGATCTTGAAGACAAAGCTCCCAATTTCAGTATGGGGTCATGCTATTTTGCATGCGGATGCACTGATTCGGTTAAGACCGAGTGCATATCATAAGTACTCCCCATTACAATTAGCATCTGGGCATGAGCCAGATGTATCCCATCTCCGTGTCTTTGAGTGTGCGGTCTATGTTCTAATAGCTCCGCCACAAAGAAATAAAATGGGTCCACAAAGAAGATTGAAAGTATATGTGGGTTGTATGTCACCAAGTATAATAAGATATCTGGAACCAGTAACTGGTGATATGTTTACAGAACGATTTTCCGGTTGCCATTTAATGAAGAAGAATTTCCAGCGTTAGGGAGAGGAATTGGAGAAATTACTTGGTGTACACCATTGTTGGGCCCAAATATGGCCCGCTACCTGAGACTAATGGGGTCGAGCGATAAGAGTTGACAATGGGCCACTGTAAGCCCATTAGCAATTAATCTTTTGAGAAAAGAGTTAAAAAGAAGCCAGAGGCTGTTTGCTAAGGAAAGAACGTCAACAAAACAGGTCACGGAGGAAAGCTCCGGACCTCATTTGCAAAGAGCTAATGGGAGTAG